TCACACCCAGCACACCTCCCAGGACCAGACTCACACCCAGCACACCGCCCAGGACCGGACTCACACCCAGCACACCTCCCGGGACCGGACTCACACCCAGCACACCTCCCAGGACCAGACTCACACCCAACACACCTCCCCGGACCAGATTCACGGCCAGCACACTACCTGGGACCAGACCTATACCTAGCACACCTCCCAGGACCAGATTCACACCCAGCACACCTCCCGGGACCAGACTCACACCCAGCACACCTCCCAGGACCATATTCACACCCAGCACACCTCCCAGGACTGGACTCACACCCAGCACACCTCCCAGGACCAAACTCACACCCAGCACACTACCTGGGACCAGATCTACACACAGTACACCTCCCCTGACCAGATTCACACCCAGCACACCTCCCGGGACCAGACTCACACCCAGCACACCTCCCCTGACCAGATTCACACCCAGCACACCTCCCCTGACCAGATTCACGCCCAGCACACCTCCCGGGACCAGATTCACACCCAGCACACCTCCCAGGACCAGATTCACACCCAGCACACCTCCCCTGACCAGATTCACACCCAGCACACCTCCCGGGACCAGACTCACACCCAGCACACCTCCCCTGACCAGATTCACGCCCAGCACACCTCCCGGGACCAGATTCACACCCCAGCACACCTCTTGGGACCAGATTCATGGCCAGCACACCTAGCCCAGGACCAAACTCAAAGCCCAGTCTCTAAAAGACAGGCCCAGAATCTGCCTTCTTAACTGGTCCCCACAGCGTTTCAGGCCCTCAGCTCTCTTCCTGTTTCCCAGCACTGGAGGTTCAGGGCTGGTACCTCGCCTGGCCCTCAACACTCCTCCCCAGAACTGGGGGTTCAGGTGGTACCTTCCTCAGCCCTCTCCTGGCCCCCAGCACTGGAGTTCAGGCGGTACGATGCCCAGCCCTTTCCCAGCACCTAGCACATGGATTCAGGTGGTATGTTGCCCAGCCCCAGCCCTCTCCCGGCTCCCAGCACAAGGGTTCAGGTGGTATGTTGCCCAGCCTTCTCCTGGCTCCCAGCACCCAGGTTCAGATGGTACCTTGCCCAGCCTTCTCCCGGCTCCCAGCACACGGGTTCAGGAGGTACCCTGCCCAGCCCTCTCCCAGGCCCCAGCACACAGGTTCAGGAGGTACCTTGCTCAGACAGCATCTCCCAATCATCTGCAGCAGCTCGTTGGTCCGCTCGGGCTCGTGTCCAGCCACGATGCGGGCGGGCTTTGCAGACAGTGACTCTCCTGAGACCATCACCACCACGTCTATGGCCTTCTGAAGGAAGCTGATCTTCGCATCTTTTTCCTGAAGTGTGCCCATTCAAAAACAGAGTAAAATACTCCAAAAAACGTTTGCACTCCCTTCGACACATGTAAAAGACACAAGCTAGCTGCTGTTTATGTAAAATGTTACTTTAAATATGCATCAAATTTACAAATAATGACTGGTTATAAAATGTTATTTTGAAAACGTGTGGAATTCTCAAATAACAACTTTTCAGCAGACAAAAAAAATTCATGAAAGCTCTTAACTGAGCCAGTTTGCTAGCAGTGACCTTTAACCGCATTTCTCTAAGGATAAAAATCACTGTGACATGTAACGCCACGGTCCAACCAACTACCACAGCAGCACAGAAACTCCCCCCCACCGTCCACCACCTACAAAAGCAGCCCCATTCATGCAGGTGCGAGGCGGACAGGAGGCCCTCATACCCACCTTAACGTTGTCAGACTTCATCTCAGTGTCTGTGTAGAGACCCTTCATGAAGCCAGTCGTTCGAATCACCTTCAAAAATCAGAAAGGGTCCCTTGTATGCACCCCACAAACGCCTCCTCGCTGGCCTCACCCACTCTTCCGAATCGATCCAACTGAACCGTGAGTTCACTACCCCACACATACCTAAGCAGACAGCGTGGGTGGATGCCACGTCAGGAGAACCCAACCCGGTCCTCACTGACAGACAGACCAGGCCGTGCTCTGACGGGGGACACAGGCTACTGAAGAGGCACCAGGGACCACACGGATCGCCCCGGGCCAGTGGGGTCCTGGTGCCCATATCCTGACGGAGAGCAGAGGCTGGCAGGAGCGGGGAGCTGGGTATCTCAGAAGCGGGCTCTGGACAACAGAAAGAGTCCCTACAAGGCCCAGGCCAAGAGGCCACAGAAGTTCCAACAGTGAGGACCTGACCGACGGCCTTCGAAGGACACATGGACATGAGGTCGGTCTAGAGTAAGGAGTCTGGGAGGGCTCAGCCGGCGAGGCCATTGACCAGGGCCGCTCCAAGGCAGGGGTGAGCCGGGACCGCAGAGGGAAGGGCCATCGTCCCGCGGGTTTCCCCATCACCGCCTGTGTCCCCACCTCTCAGGACAGGCGCCCTGCCCCCATCACTTCTGTTCTCCTCCCCATCACTGCTCAGCCCACATGCACCTCCCGACCATTCTAAAACCAGCTTCCGGTTCCGCCCACCCCTGCGTCGCCAGCCCTGGTTCCCCTCAGACCAGCACTCCAAACTGTGGCAGGTTACTGTGCAATCAATTAACTGACAGCAAGAAGCATTAAAAATAAACAGAATAGAAAACGTCGGATTGCGCGGTCCACAGTGGGGTCAGTGCACGTGTGCGCCTGGGTCAGATGGAAAGTGTCAAGGTGGCCCCACGTATCACAGAATGAAGCGTCATCATGATGACCAGCATGTGTGAGTCCACATCACGGCCACCATGGCCACCCATCTCACAGGGTGTCTCCCTTGTCGGTGCTGCTCCTCTTCTCGACGGAGCACGTGTGGAAAACAAAAACAGGGACAGCCCCTCTCTGGAGCCCGGCACCTCCTCTGGGATCAAGTTACCTATTAACTAAGCTAGAATCCTCCGTCCACGCCAAGCGACGTAAGTGTTGTGCCACTGTTTTCCCAGAGAAGATGAGTGGAACGCGCAGAGCACCCCCATTTATATTCCTGGGACCTTTTCATTTTGTCCTTCCACGGGGTTAGCGGTTTGTGACGGCTCAAACTGTGAGCCGTAACTCTAAGCTATGGGAGGCGTCCATGTTGCAGGATCACACTTAGCTTTACGAGAGAGCGTGTGTGGCCATGGCTGGAATCTTCATGGTATGATGTGAACACGAGATTCCGAGACAGCAGACTGTTCGCGGGTGGCTTTACAGCCGTCACCCGAACACCTTGTCCAGCATGCCCGCAACCGCAACACCTTTACCAAGAAGGTGACTATCAGCGTAGTTATGTTTACGTTCATATTGTGTTTGGTTGTACACAAGGTCGCTATGGGTCAGAGATGACGCAACGGCACCCAACACCAGTTTTCCACGGGTGCAGAAACTGTTTCTGGTACTGAAATAAAAAACAAACCCATTCCCACCAAGTCTATTCCAGCACACGGTGGCCCCACGTGTAACAGAAGAGAGCTGAGCTGCGTACGGTCTCCTGGGCTGCAATCATAACAGAAGTAGATTACCAGGCCTCTACCATGCAGCACAGCCAAGTGGGTTCAAACCACCAAGCTTCCGGTCAGCAGTCAAGTGCAAACCACTGCTGCCACCGAGGGGTCTCGGTGGGGATGGTGGTGGGTGCCAGTGAGACAGCTCCAGCTCCCAGCCGCCCCTCGGACGACGGAAGGACGCGCCGCCCGGCTCAGCCCACTCCCAGCCGCCCCTCGGACGACGGAAGGACGCGCCGCCCGGCTCAGCCCACTCCCAGCCGCCCCTCGGACGACGGAAGGACGCGCCGCCCGGCCCTGCGCCAGCCTCATGAGCCCGCCATGTTTCAGCCCATCGTTGCGGCCGCTGCGTCCATCCGTCCAGTTGCGGGTCTTCCCCTTTTTCTCTGACCCTCCACTTTGCCGAGCATGAGATATTTCTCCAGGGACTGACCCCTTCGAACAACACAACCAAAGTACGTGAGACGAGGGACCTCAGAGTCGCCAAAACCCGCCGAAGAAAAGGCAGCCTGGTTGGGCCTGACTCCAAAAGCGCCCCTCCTTCCACACGAGCTGCCTGCCTCATCCCCAGCACATTCCTGCTGGGACGCCTCGTCCTGCTTCTCGTGGGCCCTTCCAGTCACCCCAGAGAGGCTGTGAGCACCACGGTGAGCTGTGCCCGCCGCACTGACGGCCCGTCTGTCTCTCCTCCGGGGCAACGTGTCCATGACGGAGACAGCACTGACGCGGAGGATGAGAGGTAGACCGCAGAGGCTCCCACGGCACTAACAGAGCTGCTGGCCCCCGCTCACTCTGACACGTCCCGCTCAGCTGCAGGGCAAGGCCAACACCGCCAGGCTCTCGGTGCAGCACCATCCCTTCCCAAAGTGCAGACCAGGCTGTGAGAGCTGCCCTAGCTGAGGGGAGGAGGCCAGTCAAGACAGCACTTGGGGTCGGGTGGGATCTGGGGGACGTCTTAGGCCCAGCAGACACAGCTGCAAAGATGTCACTGTGAGGACTACGGTGCGCCTGACCACAGCCATGGTGTTTTCAGTCACCTCGTATGCATTAGAAAGCTCGACGATGAACAGGCAGCCCAAAGAAAAGCTGACGGAATTACAGCGTTGGAGGAGAATACTAGATGTGCCATGGACTGCCAGAACCAACCCCTCTTGGGAGAAGTCCGGCCCAAAGGTGCCTTAGAGCGAGGGTGGAGAGAGTTCATCTTACACTTCTTGGACACGCTATCAACAGGGACTAGTCCCTGGAAAAAGACATCACGCTTGGTCAAGCAGGGGGTCAGTGCAAAAGGAAGCCCCCCAACAGGATAGGCGGACCCAGTGCTGCGGCGACAGGCTCAGCAACGACTCGAGGTGCAGGACCGGCAGGGTTTCGTCCTGTTACACACAGGGTCACGTGAGTCAGAACTGACTCGCCGGCACCTGAAGACAGCAAAGCGGAGGCATTCCCGGGGCACGTGATCAGCAAAGGTGAGACGGAGCAATGGTCAAGTACCATCTGAGCAACAGGAAGGCAACCATGCTGGCAGAGAGGGCGGGGCGAAGCCAGGGCACGACAGGGCTGCAAGCCAGCAAATCAGCCTGACTCCTGGTTCCCAAAGAGCACCTGCCCCCAAGTGCACCCGGAAATGGGCACTGCCACCTCCCACCCGCCAAGAGTCACTAGGAGCAACGGACTCCATTCAACAAGCCCATGCCAGCTGCACAGCTTCGCGTACCTGACTCAGGGCAGCGTGCCCAGGGTTTGCCAACAGAGAAGGCCCAGTCTCTACACTTTAGGAATTCACAATCCGGTGTGGAAAACCACCCCTGCCTGCCCTTACTGTGGGTTCCTTGGGCTGTAACACTGGAAGCTTGGCCTCTGGTGTTGAAAATACCAGCAGAGTCACCCAAGGTGGGCAGGTTTCAGCAGAACTTCCAGACTAAGACAGACTAGGGAGAAAGCCTGGCCGTCTGTCTCCTCAGTCAGCCAGTGAAAACCCTGTGGATCACAACAGAACACAGTCCGACAGGATGCTGGGGGCTGGGTCCCTATGCTGGAAGCAGGAAGGATACACAGCTGGCCGCAGCCATGGACTCTGGTGCAGGGCCGGACAGCCAGTGCTCTGCTCCACGGGAGGCTGCCCTAGGTCAGGGCCGACTGGACGACAGCTAACACCAATGACAACACAGTGGGGCGAAGAAGACACTGCCACTATCTACTTAAGTCCGGCTTAGCCACCAGGCCCAGGTCTCCCTTCCAGGTGCCCCGACCGCCACCTCCCACAGGTCTGCACTGAGCTCGCGAAGTGGGGCGAGCACCACGCACGGCCGTGCAGAGGCACTCCAGACAACGCCCGTCTCCGGGTTTCCCCGCACCCACGTGCAGGCCCCGCAGGACACTCGGGGAGGCGGCAGCAAGCCCCGCCCAGCAGGGGAGAGAAATCAGAGCCAGCCGCCGGCCGCCAGGAGGCCGGCTCCGAGCAGACCTCCGGCAGCGGGAAAGCAGAGGGCGGGCGCTCGGCGCCAGGAGCACTGCGACAACGAACAGGGCGAGGGCAACGATGCCCGCAGGGGCCCCGGCGGCTCCCAGATGGGGTGCGTCCGGTGGCCGCCGTCCGCGGCCCGGGCAGGGCGACGCGGGCCCCGCAGCTGCGCAGACCTGGACTCGGTCGGGACCCCCGAGCCCGGCCCGCACCCTCGCCCCCGGCCTCGCACGCCCGACCTCCGGCGTCGGTCCCCACTCGCCCCCGGCCCGGCGCTCACCTCCGTGATGACGTCGTGCAGGTAGCGGAACGGGGGCTTGCTCAGCAGCTTCTCCGTCAGCGGCGGCCTCCGGATCACCTTGCCCAGCGCGTCCTGCGTCCGCCTCACCACCGCCGCGTTCATGGCGGCGCCCGCGCGCGGCCCGCCCGGCCTGAGCCCGGCTCCCCGGTCCCCGGCCCCTCGGCTCCGGCCCCGCCGCCGGGACCAGCCTCGACGCGCCGCCCGGCTTCCGTCCCACAGTGCACGGCGGCCGCCAGCGCGCATGCGCGCCGCGCGTTCCGTTGCTAGGGCAGCGCGGCCTTAGCAACGGACGCGCTGCCGCCCTGCTCGCGGGACAGCTCGGGGACCGCGAGGCGAGAGGAGGGTGCGGTCGAGGCCTCGCCTTCCGGCGGTGGAGCAAGAAGAAAACAAACTCACTGCCGTGGAGTTGATCCAACTCACAGCGAGACCTCCTTGGGTTTCCGAGGCAGTATCACTAGGGAAGTAGATTGCCCAACCTGCCTTCCGAGGAGTGGCTGACGGGTTTGAACCGCCAGCCTTCTGGTTAGCAGTCAAGTGCCTTAGGCACTACGCCACCAGAACGCCTTCATGAATGTCATTTCACTGACCTGTAGTGGACAGCAGAGGCTCACCCCGTTATAGGACGGGTCTTGAGGACTGGTTAGCAGTAGCAGAGCCGCGAAGATCTGCGTTGCCCGTTTCACCAATGGCAAAGGCTTTTGTAGGCATTGCAGGAGCTGGACCAACCATGTTGAAGGACACTGAGCACAGTGCTTGCCTACGTCTGTTACTACGGCTTCTCGGACAAGTAGCTTGCTTTCTCTGGGACCCAGTTTGCCTCCATGAGACATAATAATGGGGCTACCGCTTTGAGTCGGAATTGACTCGACAGCAGTGGGTTTGGGCCGCAGTGTCTAAAGCAAGGCAGTTACCATCAAGCCGACTCCCACTCACGATGCCCTGGGTGCCACTGGAGTCTTCAATGGCTCATTCTTCCCATGTAGGTCATCAGGCATTTCCTCCAAGGCACCTCTAGGGGGACTCAACCCCTAAACGTTAAGCTGAGCACTTAGGTTTGCACCACCAGAGATTCTATCCAGGATGGTACCCCGGATGCCCTAGGTCAAGGAGACGCCACAGAGGCCCCTCGGTGCACTGAGGGCACAGGCCAGACTATCTGCTCAGTGACTGGGGACCATCAGAGACTGCCATACAAGGCGTCTCCAGGCGTCAGGGTCTCTGAGAGATGCTCGAAGCACCCAGGACAAGGGAGCAGAGTGCCGGACCCTTTGGAGACCTAATGGGTCAGCCATGGAGTGGACACCTCCCTGGGCAGGGAGGCCCCTGGAGAACAGGAATTCTCTCCGGCTGCCTGCTAGGTGAGCCCCGCCCTCCACCCAGGGGGTACAGGCAGGGCTGAGAAGAGGTGGCCAAGGGCTCCTGAGGCCAGAAGGAGCAGGCACAGCACTCAGTGAGCCCCAGAGGGTGGGGCTGGGGGGGGCGGCCCTGAGCCTACCTTACCCCCAAAGTCCTCAAAGAGCTGTGAAAGCCCTGGGGAGAAGAGGCCAGAGGATACAAAAAACAAGCCATTCATGAAAAGAAGACTCAATTAAAGGACTATAGAAAGCAGAGAAAGTGTGTGACGAATCATAGCTCCGCAGGAAAGCAGTGGTTTCTGAATGAGACAGCCTTGGCGGTGAGTCACCAGGGGCTTCCAGGCCTCGCTCTCCTAGCCCACTCCCCAGGAGGCAAGCATTCCCAGAGACAAAGACCTGAGGAGGCTGGCTTGGCCCAACGCTGAGCTCCACAGCTGGCAGGGCCCAGGATGTGGGTCAGGCTGCTGGGAGGGCCAGGGAGCAGGGACCAGGCAGGGGGAGAGCCTGGGGCCGCCTCGCCGGCCCTGGATCCTCAAGGGCAGCAGACAGTTACGGCTGGGGTTGCCGGACAAAACATAGGACATCCCCTTAAACTTGAAACCCAGATAAACATCGAATCGTTTCTTAGTGCAGATTTAGCCCAAGCAATAATTGGGCTATACTTGTGCTGAAAATGCGTTCCTTGCTGATTTGAACTTCAAGTTGAACTGTGCAGCCAATGTTTTCATTAGCTACATTGGACCCACCC